AAAATCTCTAAAAAGGCCCCTTTAAATAGACTCCAAGGAACCTAATTCCCAAAATCCCATCAAATTTTTATTTTTAGAAAATCACCCAGCATTACGGTAATACTTCTTCAAAGTTGCGACATTAAGCTCTTGGGGAAAATGTGTTGTGTGCTTTCTTACACCAATGTTACAGCCTTGTTCTCCTAATGTTGTAGCAATCTATCAATTTCAAATATGATTTTCACTCTGATCTAGTCTAAACTGGGTAAAGTGGTAAAATGAAAGTTTTAGCCCTATCTCTTAACTTTCCAATGGCTTAAGAATCATATCAATTGGACTTTAAGATTGAAAAATATTCTCCAAATACTGCATCATGCTCAGTCCATGCATACTGCTACAATGCTCTACCTTAGACAAATATGTTGACTATGATCAAATCTGAATTGGGGGAAGTGATAACATAAAAATTGTAGCCCTTCCTCTTATCATTCTAGTGGTTTAAGAACCATTTCATTTGGAGTTATGTATAGAAAGAAATAATTAAAATACCAAAATATATACGAATAAAGCCATCACTATACTTGCACTGATTCTTATCAAATGAGCATTTTTCATCAAATTTCCTAGAAAAGTAATAAGAGAAATTAGCAATAACTACTCTTAAAGTAATTTAAAATAAAATAACATAAAATTTAACTAAAATAACTTAAATTAATCGCTCAACATGTAATCAAACTTAAACTAAAAAAAACACCTAAAATACTAAAATTCAAATCTAAAATCTCAAAGATCTAGCTACTTAAACTCCCAAAATGTGTCAAATTAACTCTATATAATAGAGTTATCATTTATCGATTGATCTTTCAATCAAGATCTTAGCACAATCAAATTGCTCAACTAGAACCATAGCACTATCCATCCTTATATAATTTCCCAATATGCAGCAGACCTTCTTGCAAAAAGCTTCATGCCATAAGGTCAAGGGGGCATTTTGGATTTTCATCCACTGTAGTAAACTATCAAGATTTTCAATGTCATAGAAAGGCTTCGTCGAGTTGAACCACATCTAAAATATTCTTAAATACTTGTCAATAAGCCATTCCATCTCACTCTTATCTTCAAATGTGAGCAAAAATTTATGACCACCCATGGGTCGAATATGGGCATGAATACCCTAGTTAAAAAGCTTCAATTGGACCACTTGATGGTTGAAGTTCGACTTCATTACGCCAATTGCATTTCTTTCAAGCTACCCAAAATCAATCGTAAGGAAAAAGATAAGAACTCTATTATCAAGCTAAACTCCTTTCTACCACCCTCCTCGTTGTTGCTAATTTTCTAACTCAACTCAATCTTCTCTAAGACCCTTCCATTTTCTTTTAAAATTTTTTATACAACTTGGAGTCCCTGTTTCTTTCGAACATCTTGTTTCCCATTCTGGGTTCTGTGTATGGCTCAATTTGCTTTCTCTTTCAAGGTTTCCATCCGAATGCCACCTTATTGACAATCTTATGTCCATCAACCATCCTCTAGTTTCTATATGCAATTGTTTTCCTTAATTCTTCTTTAGTTTTGTATCTTACAAACACGAATGTACTTCTTTTTCTACCTGAGCCCACGCCTCCCTTAACTATGAATAGATCCATCCCTCGCCCATAGGCTTCAAAAATATCTTTAAGTTCTTGCCATGAAACTCAAAGACTGACTTTATCCAGGAACATTGTGAAAAGCTGATCTCTTTAATCCTTTCTCCAATTGTTCATGTTTCCTCTATTTTCATCTAGATTGACTCCACTTTTTTTTAATTTTTTTATTGTTTTATTATAAAGCCATCAGTTTCAATGGGGTTATGTGTGGGATATATAAGGATAAGCTTATCTGCCTCCAATACTAATTTGAAGCTAAACTTATTTAACAAGCCACTAGCCACTAGATTTTTACCTAACTTCTAGTATAAAATAAATATCATTTAATACAAGAACTTTTCTAGAATTAAACATAAGTTCAACAATGCCTTTTCTTTTCACTTATGCAATGGAGGAATTCCCCATGTACAACACTATTCCATCACTAACAAGTTCAAAGAACTTGAAGAAATTCTTATCCTTGTATACATGCTTTGTTGCTTCACTATCGATCCACCATGCTCCATCATTTTGGAGAAGATTGATCTTAGAAATAATGGCAACTAATTTGTTGTTGTTCACGCCTTATGTCTTCTTTTTCAAAAGTCTACATTCTTCCTTGATATGTCCAAGCTTGTTGCAATGAAAACATAGATCATTTTGTTTTTTTTTATTTTCTAATTGTTGGCATTAATACTAACAGAATGCTTGTCTTATGGTTTGAAACCAGTTTGTTTGATGGTTTTGTTTTCCATCACATTGACCTTTGAAATCTCAAGATTCTTTACTTCAAGATTTTTATCCTTCTTATCTTGTTTGACTTGATCCTAGTTATAACAATCTTCCTCTATTCGAAGATGATTACTAAGGTTCTCAAGAGACATCTTCTCTTTTTTATGCTTTAGAGTTTTCTCAAGGTTTCTTCATGGGCGAGGAAGTTTGTCAATCACAGAAGACACAACAATAACCTCATCCTTGTTAAGATTATATTCCTTAAAGCTATTAAAAATGCATTCAATCTCATGAAATTGATCCATTATATCACGACCATATGCCTTTTTGTAATTATTAAAACGACTAACTAGAAATTTCTTACTAGTTGCATCTTTAGCCATGTATCTAGCCTCCAACTTATCCTCAAGCTGTTTTTCATTAGCCTTATTTCGGTAGGCGTCAAACAAACATTCTATTAAGAATGTGATCCATCTTACATCGTTATTATCCCATTTTTGCCTTAAATGAATTTGGTCCACAAGCCTTTCATTTCCCTTTGGTCTTGATGTCGTTGCAACATAAGCAACCTTGAGAGTTGTAATGAGGAAGGGCATCCTTTTTTCTCAATGGATAAAATTATATCATTCAGAGCGGTCTAATTTGATAATGTTGGTAGCCATTTCTTTTAGGGAAGCCATTTTGTAATAGTCACTATTTTTAACGCTTATTTCACCCCACAATTCGGTATGCAAAAAGAATTTGCAAATAACCTCGAAGATATAATAAAACCAATGTTTTAACTTCATCTTATACTTATAAGATTAGATCACTAGACACGACTAAAAGATTATAAAATTATCACAACCTTATAACTTATCTCCGGTAAGAAGGAGATTATAAAAAATTTGGATACTTCAATAAACAGTAGGAATTTACTCTCTTTAGGGTGAATTTATACAAGTATGTCATATCTTGTGAGTATAAGACCACAAATTCTCTTCTTTTTCAAAGTTCCAAGGTGAGAACCTTTCATTAAATAAAAAACAATCACGATCTTTCCAAAAAAAAAAACCCTAAAAATCAAAATAAAAACTAATTTGCTTGTGATTGTAATATATCCTTAAAGATGAAATCCTCAACTTGGCCTGTAAAACCGTACCTTCCGTTTTGGATTGAAAATACTGAGATTTGATAAGATTGGTGATAGACATAGTCAAGAATTCTTCAACATTATTCCAACCCTTCATTTTCAATCAATTTGAAACTCATCTAAAGCCTACCGTACACGTAATAACATTTTCTCAGTAATTGTTCTTACATATTGCCACAAGTATTGTTGATTTGTAAGATTTATTTGATTAGTTTTATTTCTTTTCACTGTGGTTTAGAGATTTTTGTTTTAATATTGTAATTAATTATTTTTACAGATACATATTTTGTAGCTCTGGCTTAAATTTTTCACTAGCTAGCCTCAAACTATTTTGAGAATAAAAAATGGGCATCTCACTTTCTTTCTTCGAATTATATATCCTGAGACTCACCATATACCTTATCCTATATATCTGATTTAGGGAACAGCCGAACAGGGGATAGGCATTAAAAAGTACCAAATGACACCATTGATCATAAAGGGTTTCATCATTAAAATACCCCTTTTTCGTTGTTATAATTGCTACAATTAACTCCGATATAACACCTTCTTTTCCTTGTCAAAAATCCACAACAAATTTAAGTACAATGATTTTGTGACTGTCCAATTCAGCAGGGTTTTGGAGAAGAGACTAAGAAGGGAATTAGCTGTTTTAGAACTTTCGGACTTTTGAGACATTAAAACAAAAGAAACAAAACAAAAAGAGAATCTTCATCACGACCGACCATTGGAGTAAAGAAATCAGATGGCAAATAACATGCCATCATAAATGAAATGATGGATTTGTAGGCTTCGGTTGAGCTTTCTAAAAATCTGATCGAAGCAATCCCAATTCAAATTGCAACACAAAATGGGGATGGAAACTTTATCACTTTCAATTGATGGCTTATAAACTTGGAGGGAAAATGCAAATGGCATGGTGCCAAGCTGTCAGACCTAGTTGGCTTTGGTCCCCTGGCACATTCTTCTCCATATCTTCTCAAAGAAGAATCTCTCTCTATCTCTCTCTAAAATGACAACACCATGACTTGTGGTCTAGAACCCATCGTACCCATTCTACGATGGAGCTTCTGCAACATTAGGGGGTTTGTTGAGCTTTTCAATAAGGGACAAAGACTTTAGATAAATAGGCCATGAGCACAAGTATGATATTTTAAAGTGTGGGCTCCTAGGCTTTTCTCTATTACTCAGAGACAGAGAAAGATCCACTAGCTATAGCAAACATATATTTTTTTTTT